TCTCATCTTAACTTTTTGGTATTTTATTTAATGATTTGTTAGATTTTATATTCATTTTTTCAGACCAAAATAAAGTACTGAAAAAAATATGGTAAATATTTTTATTTCTTCTCTTTTAAGATGTCATTTCAACCAGTTCTGGCATTCTCAATTTGATTCTTTTAACTGTATAAAAGTATTCTTAATATTACTTGTTGTACAACAGTTCATCTATTAATCTATAGTTAAATAAATATTTCCTTAATTGTTTGGATTAATATTTTCATCATTTTTTTTAATGAGAATTCTTGTCTATTTCAAAATAATTATGCTTAGAGTAGCAAACATTTTGATCCATATCCATCCAAACATTAGCATTTTAGAAATAACTTTTTTCTTTTTGTGAACTCCATAAATAAAATGAGTTCATGTTACTTGAATAATACTTAAAAGTTGTTTGTAACACTATTCTGTAAATGTTTATCCTTTCAGGCCACTAATTTCGACAAAGCTGTTGGATGGACGATGGTAGCTTTGGCAGTCACTATTTTTGCTTACTATACAGTCTGGGTGATTGTTTTAGTAAGTAGTTTTAATTTAATAAGTAGTTTGTTTGACCCACCCCTATTAGTTTCTTATTAAAAACAAATAAACAACAAAACTAGGAAAATAGTTAAAAAAAAAAAAAAAAAAAAGTGACAGTATATAAAAAAAAAAAACTTTTTTGTGTCAATTCATTAAAACAAAAACTTAAAAATGACTTAACATTAGTGTGACCACTAAATTCTTTAAATATCTTAGAAATGTTCACCACTGTTCAACAAAGGGAAGATAAATCTGATATTTTATTCTACATGAATATCAAGTTTATTGAACTGATGAATAAAATAATCTTTGTGCTTGCTTACCAACACTAGTTTTGCCACTCATCAAATGTTTTAAACAAGAAATCAAACTTATGAATATTTCCTATCTAATTTTATTTTACTGTGCATTTTTTTTGGCAAGAAAAATGAAAATCAATTTTGGGTCTATAAATTTGGAGGTTGTGAAATTTTAAAATACCACTGATATTTCAGTGTGTGGAAGGGAGGCAGCGCCGAAAATCAGGTCCCATAAATACCATTTTGTACTTTTGAAGAAATTTCATGATATCACGGCTACCACCATGTCTGAAAATTTGGTATTTTCAAACATTTATATTAAAATATTTTGGTTATTTTTGATTGGTTGTCTGGTAATGGCTGTGTTATAGGGATGAATCCTGCAGTTGGTGTACTTGGAACAACACTTAGCAAACAAAATCATATTCAGTAGGGTATCAAACCCATGGCTGGTGAGTGGTGTCCATTTGTTTCTGAAGTTTTAGTAACTTAGATACTAAAATAGTGTTTTACCTATTTTGATGAAATACTTCCATGCCATTAGTATCAGCTTTCCTAGTCACCCACTTTTACTGCCACAAGGAAAACTTGTGCTTTTTTATTTGATTGTTAGACAAAAAGGAAATAAATTCAAACAACAAAAATTGAAAATATAGAAAATTTGGGGATTTGATAATGCATGTACGAAAACACTTTCAAAATTTTGATAAATAGTACCATTGTATTAAACTGCATAAACATTTTGGATTTTGCATCTACATGCCTGCTTTTTATCAAAAAAAGATTTTAAGTTCCTTGCCCCCGAGCTTGTTTCCCTCCGGACAGTTTCGTGCTAGATGGCCCAGATTGTTACAGCAATATCAACGTGGTTTCCTACAACTCCCGCTTCCAGTATTACTTTGACTCCTGCACTTATGAGAGAAGTGGTTGGGGAGCGGGAATCGTAGCAAACCACGTTGCTATTGCTGTAACAATCTGGGCCATCTAGTGCGGAACTGTTGCCACCCTTTCCCCCCGTCAATCAGTAAGTACAGATTTGCCCATAGTCAGGGTACGTGTGAATGGCGTGCCATGTTTGGCTCTCATTGGCACGAGATGTTCCCGTTCAATAATCAGTGCAAACTACTGTCAGGCCTGTCATCAATATGACTAGCTGGAGGGACCTCAAACTGACCAGGTTGACTAAGGAGGGGCGGCTCAGTTTAGGGCAGAAACACAGCAGACAAAAGTCTCCATCTCAGGCAGTAGTGGGATCACACCTGTGAATAGTGGTCATATGCCAACCCATTCAATATACATATAAAAGCTTAAAATAATGTAGACAAATAATTCACTATTTTAAATGACAACAATTGCTTGTCTTATTGTTTATCAATCATAATAGTAGATGGCATGGCTAAAGCAATTTACTTAACTGTATCAATTCTGCTTGTTCCTTGGTTAGCAAGTTATGTTATTCCTTGCCATTCCATTTTGATTGCAAGAAAATACAGGAGAAAAAGATGTATCACAAATACGGTTTCGTTTTAATGAAGAGAAGATAGGAGACAATGACACATGTATTTAACATCTGCATTTATGAAATGGAAAATCTTTTCAATTGTACCCTCTTACTTTAAATAATAACCTGTAATCATATTTATGATTGTTATTGCAATATTGTTAAGCTCAAATATTTAAATGATGCAGTAGTGGAATTTCCATCGGTATTTTATAATTACAAAGAGCTTATTCAAAACAATTAAGAATTATGATTTATCAGAAAAATTCAAATTTGAAAACTTTTCAAAGGTATTGCTAGTGTGTGTGTATATATATATATATATATATATATATATATAACAGAGTTTAAGACTGTCCACTCAGTGACCACTTTTTATATTTCTACACATCTAATATTGAGCACTCTTACCTATATAGTGAGAAATTGATCACCATATCCCAAATATTTAATTAATCCCATTTTGTTTAGAAAAAGGCTTTTACCATTCCAATCATAATTGATTTTGTTGCTGTCCATTAACTTTTAACAATTTCTTTTAGACAATCAAATTAAGTTAACTGGGAATTTTTTTTTACTACCATAACTGATTACACTAAATAATTTTAGTTATATTTCAAATGTTGAAAAACTTTCAAACTATTTAAAGTAAATCCGGTTTGGAATTTCCTCATAAAAATTAAAAAGTCTTAAATGAGAGTAAGATTTTGTGAACTCAAGAGCAAAATAGAGAATTACAAATGTTGGCATTAGGTGGACAAGTAATTTTGCAGAGGCTGCAATATTGAAATATCAGCTCCAGTTAATCTTCCTTAAATTTTCTCCATTTTCCAGCCATTTATTGCACCTCATGAAAAGATACATTCCTTCTTCCTGCCAAGGTCTTATGCAGTTACGATTCCACTCACACTTATGGTAATTGCCCTTATTGTTATTGGTGAGTAGACTTGAAATTAAAAAAAAAAAAAATCTTAAACCTTCTTTGTGCCTGGAAAGATCAGGACTCAAGATTGTTCTGGCAATGAAAAGATTCATTAAAATTTTATGTTTATTCTAAAAGAAACTAATTTCTTAAAATTATTTTTATTCTCCAATACATATTAAAACCTTGACACTATTGATAAGTGTAGTATACGTACGCATGCTCTCAAAAACTTATTAAACCAGTAAATTGAATGAACCTTTAACCATTCATTTGTATCTCTTTATCAAATTCTAAATTGAAAATACAAGAATTAAAAACAAGTCATGTGAATCCAATAATTGTAAATTAATTTTTTGATTAAGACTTTTTTTTTTTTAATTTTGTTGAAATGCATTAATATTTTTAATATAGAAATCAACACAGCACAATTTTTTAATGAATGTTACTGAGCATGAAAATTAGAACATTTCCATGTAAAATTATTCAAGATAATTAAACTGAAAGGTTGAAATTAATTTCTTTTAGAAAAATAAAGTTTAACTAATTTGTCTTTATTAATTTCTAAAATTAATGTTTTGTTACAATTTTTTTTTTTATTATGCAGTAAAAGTGTGAGGGGGCAGGTAATCACAATGTGCAAAATTAATAAACAAGATGGCCTTGGAAAATTTCTTAAGAAAGAAAAAAAAAAAAAAAAAAGAAAAAAAATTACATAATCCTTCACTTCATTGTATGAGACACCTTAGAACTCAGGTGAAGGACAATAATAATGTCTTGTCCATTTAACTTTTAATTCTAGTCATTAGTTTTGCAAAGAGTGATATATATTTCTAGCATAGTTTATACCTTAAGATTTTAAATCACCTAAATTAGAAAACCTGCTATTGCAATTTAAAATTCATTAAGTGACTTTTTACCATTAATAAGACTGGTAATCTTCTGAACATATAAAGATTTTAAACATAAACAGATTTCAGGCAATTATTATAATCTGAAATAAAAAAAAAAAAAATCCCCAAAGACATGAATGTAGTTAATTTACAGTTGGTAATAAGAACCCAGTCTATGAATTGTGTTAGTTACTAAGAAATGATTAAGATGAACTCCCTGAACATTGTCTTTATGCATTAGGAAGTTTTTAACTTTTTTTCTTTCTTTCTTTTTCAGTTATCACTGTTGCTGTTATTGTGACTAAAGAAAAATTAAAACCTAAAACAAAGAAAGAATAAAAGAAAATTGTATATATTATCTTGATTGATTGTTGTTTCTAATCATTAAAATCAATAAGGGGGGGGAACAACACTATTCAAGACCGATTCCAATTTTTTTTTTTTTTTTTTTTTAACACAAGCAACATGACTGGCACTCTCACCAGAGTAGGAGAGACTGGGGGTGATTGTCATCACAACCCTGTCAATGGACAATTCCTGTGCTGTACAATGATGATGTAGCCAGTGTATTTGGTGCAGATACAGAAGATAAATCCCACCAGGCGAGTCCCAAGGTTTAGAATTTGAAAATTACAAAGAATGAGAATTTCAATACATTTTTGTAAATTAGGGACTTAAAATTTTATGATACACTAGAACAAATTAATTATACAAATCTTTTATTTTATGACATTGAAATTAAATACAATGCTTTTAGCAAAGCAGAAAGTTTGAACGAATGGAGGAGATTGTAATGAATTTGTGTTGAATTGTGATGTTATTCATTTTCTGGATTTATGTGTAAATTTTTCAATGAGTAGTTTACAATAGTTTTGCCTTCGATGTTTGTGCATTATTCTCTCAAGTTCAGTTATGAGCAAACCTTTATCAAGTAGACCAGCCTTCATCAGCACATCTACAAAGAACAAAAAGACATGATCTTGAGAAAAGAAAAAAAAATATTCTGGTATAAGTAAATTAGAGAATGTCTGTGCTTATAAAATGTATCAGCTTGTACAGTTTAGGAAGAGGACTATTAAAATAAAAAACAATTTCTTGTATAAGGCATTTTCATATTTGCTGCAGAATTCCCAATTATATTGGAAATCCTGAAAGATCTTCCAAATATACAGATCTATATATCAGATTAATAGTGGGTAAGCAAATGATACCCCATTACTAAAACAATTATTAGTCTGAAGACATTTTTACTCAGAAAAAAAAAAAAAAAAAAAAAAAATGCATCATTTAGTTTCACTATTTCTATAAGAAACAGAAATGCAGATAATGAAAAAAAAAATTATCAGTCATGTATTTGCTTTTGTGAATAGAAAAAATTTTGGAAGAATGTTAAATTAACTTAAAAGTTTCCTAATTTTTTTTTTCTTTTCAGTTTAAAAAAAAAAAAAAAAAAAAAAAATTTGCTTTTGCGGCATAATATACCAAGTTCAAAGAAATCTTGTACTTAGTTCAGTTAAATTATTCCAAGTGTAAAAAGCAAAAATTTCTTAAGCTGACTACAGCAATGAATTATTCCAAACCAAAACTCGTTACTTCCAGTGGAGGGGGAGGGGTACGATATTTGAAAGAGGCCTCCACTTCTGGACCTCTGTTGCACGAAGAGGCCTGAAGTAAATAACATCATCAACCATATGATCTACTTATTGGGGCACTTAGCATGGTGTAATGGTTAGCAAGCTTGTCTTGCTAGAACAATTGTGACCAAGTATTGAGTTCAATCGTCACTGGGTGCTCCATACTTTCAGCCTTGTGCCACATTTGAGCTATGTTTAGAAATCACTATATAATCTACTTATTGATATAACCACTGTACCTAAAAACTGAATCCCTGTATTTCAACTGATTTTCTCACTTTTTGCAAATGACTTGGGTATGTTATTTACTTACCAAATACTGCTTTTTGAATTTTTACCTCCTGGTCATCCAGGTGAATGACAAGGCCTTTATACAACGCTTCCAAGTGAGCTCGAAATAGGCCAACATCATATTTACGAGGATTTAAAGCATCAAAATATGCCAGAAACACATTGGTCACCATCAGGCGGATATCATCTTCATTATCATCCAAGCGAGTCAAGAGATGAGGGTAGATGCTATGCAACATATCATAATTTGGTGGCTCAATACAACTAAGTTTCTCCAGTAAACGAATGAGTAGTCGACAGGTGAGAAGACGAGTATTTTTATTATCATCTTGCAGAGTTGTCATTAATTGGGGGAGCAATTCATCTATTATCTTCATCAGCTGAAAAGAGAAATAAAAAATAATTTGTAAGATATTGTGCTTCCTTTGAACTATAAAAGTTCTTGAATAATGTTTCATGATTAAATCCATTGCAGGTTTATTATAATGTTAGCCACTTAACACTTCTGACTAAACTATTTAAAATTATACAAACACATTAGCTCAAGAAGTGGAAAGCCTTTTTGTTAAACTGTAATATTTGTCTATATCTATTACAGAAGTGCCCAGAGATTACCTTAATCTGTAACTTGCCTATATTAAATTATTTCTCATTAAAGATAAATAGATCTAATAGCCAATGTGGAATCAATGTCTTATGAACAATCTCCAAGCATTTCTGTAATACAGATAATTAAGAAAGTTTGATGGAAGAAAGCAAACATGCAAGAGAAGCAAAATGCTAATATTAGTCTTTCTAGTGTTAGCAAGGAATTTTTTTATTTAATGGGGGAGGAGGATAATTTTAAAAAGGTTGACTGATAGTTAATGGGATGGCTGTGTGTATAGCATAGCAGTTATTGGCACAGAAAGTGAAGTCAGCATAAATCCATCTCTTCTTCCCCCAGCTATGGGTTAAATAACATGACAGAGGGAAAATTCCGAATTAAAAAAAAAAAATAGTTGAGTATGGTGAAGCTGTTGTACTATTTTTTACAGAGGAATTTAATGGCACTCAAGAAGAGGGGAGAGAATAATTAATATGGAAAGATGCTTACATCTTCATCAGAGATACAGCCACATTGGAATAGTGACCAAGCAGTAGATATTGCAGAGAAACGAATAGATTTTGCTATCCGTCCAGCCCTCCAAACCAAGTTCGGTATGACAATTTTTTTTAGAAGCAATAAAGAGTTGTGGCGCAGTGGGTGCACCGCTGTTTTGGACATATGTTGAGAAAGTAAAGCCACAAGCATAGCCATCATTCGCATTTGAAGTTGGTCTTCTTTGTCAGGATTTAGGCAACAACACATAACTTCAATGAGATCATCTACCAACTCTGGTAAAACATCAACTGAAAAGGAGAAAAAAAAAATAGGCTAACAGACAGATAAGCCTTGTATAATTCTTACTGGCTGAGTGATTAACAGTTAAAATTTCTTTTCCAAAGAGGAACATTTCTGGACATGTCACAATTGTACAAGAATTTTCCAAGAAATGACTAAAGAAAACATGTTAATGCTTGTTCACTAAATAGAAGAGAGTTATATACTAAGCAGAGCTTTGTTTAGTCCAAGACTTCAAATACCAATGACCAAGTGAATTGGTTGCTTACTATTGATTACCTACAAATGCAACTTGCTCAGCTACTTCATGGCTATTTGATTTATAATAAATTTTTAAAAATCCTAAAATGGCATAGACTGTTCTTGTTTGAAAATTCAGGTACCAATTTCAATTTTAAATGCTTTTCAACATGAAAACTTTACAGTTAAGCATGATGTAGTATTCTAATTTTAGACTGGACAAAGATTCCATGAAGAACCCTTTTAAAAGCAGAACAAAAATAAGAAAAAAAAAAAAAAAATTACCCCCAACATTGAAGAAAATTGTTTCGAAGATTCTGACTTCAAATGAAGTACTTGTCCAGTCTGTGTAATTTTCCTTCAGCTTGTTGACTAACCGGTGACTGTATTGAGCATAAATTTGACAGGATCCAGGGGTCATATGGTGCATAAGAGTCAGGTCACAGAGACAACTCCTTGCCTTAAAGAGAAAGACATAAAAAAGCAAAGGTTAGACAAGTGTATTGTGGGAAAAGGTGTCTGCTCACTTGGCAGTAGATTACTTTAGCAGAAAAAAAAAAAATCTTTCAGAACATCTTTCATCTTATTAAGATTTGTCCATTAAGTTTTCCTCTAAGTATTTACCTTGAGGTAAATCAAGTCATTGTTTTATAGTGTTAAGTTAAAAAAAGCTCAAATTCTATGAAATTTGAGAATTAAATTTATGAATTGATTTAGGGGATTAAAAAAAATAAAATAAAAATAGAATAATAAAATATGTTTACCTGAGATTCCACATCAGAATTGTTTTCAGGAAAAGACAAGGCCAAGGCAGTAACAAGAATTGAAAACAATTGAAAACCAACAGATACACAGTCTTCTTTTGAAACAAGAATTATATTTTTGCTACACTTCACCAATTCTGCTAACATTCTAGCCTATAAGGAAAAAAACATTTCAGTGTCAAAAATATATTGGTTGGAAAAGAACCCAATAGTAGTACAATTTTTCACATTTGGAATCTCATAGGTTTAATACAGTTTAAAAATAAAATGTAATCATCTGTAAGTTTTATTAATTGAAAACTAAGTGTGCATTTTGGGAAAACAGATTTTTGCTTTCAGATTCCCTTTCAGGGAAAATGAATATGCTTAACACTCATTAGTAACAGGATCAATTACTTCTTTTTTAACTTTAAAAAAAAGGCATAAAAAAGCAGGCAATCTTTACAAAATTTAATAAAGATTCTAATTTTTCCATGTATTTATATTGTACTAAATATCAAGTGCATTATCAAATTTAGTATATCAGGCTTGAAGCAAACACTTTTAAAAAAGAAACTTCAATTTTTATTATAAACTAGTTTTAAAAACTAGATGTGTGTTCATTTTAAGAATCTTGAGAATTTTCACCAGCAAATAAGTTATGTGAAATTCTATTTCAGGGTAGGTGTATATTTCACTAGTGAAGAAAGGAGATAATACCTTTGTTGTATAACAAAGGTCAGGAGAAGCAAGTTTATCACAAACAACAAGAAGATGATCCTTGAGTTGATTTTGTTTACAGCCTTTGATTATAGCAGCCAGAACCATCAGAACTGAAGGACATTGAGATTTAGACAATTCTTCCAGGATAAGGGCAGTCCAGACCTCTGCTTCCACAAAATAGCCAATGAGTTCTGCAGACTTAAGAATCTGTTGAAAGAAGAGAAGTTTAATTTGCCAATATGCTGAAACATGGAAGAATAACTTTGCTTTTAAATAATTGCATATATTGCAAGTTGAACATGCACTTCACCCAAAGGAGGGTGAAAGTTTGCTAACCTCACAACACTGAAAACGTAACACTCTTATCAAAGAGGGAATAAAGAAACAAATGTAGAATTTACAAAAGATCATACAAGTAAGCTTTTTGTAAATGGTTTCTTTTTGATCAAATCAAAAAGACTTGAGAATCTCTAATTTATAGTTTGAAAGTTCTTCAGGATTTAAAGCATTTCTCTTGAAGGGTCTTAAACACTTTAAACATCTGATATTAAAATGTAGACTTGCATAACTTTGTCAGAACTGTGCTAAAAATTAAGATTCAATCACAACAATTTTATTCTGCCACTTTTATAAACATAGGTTCATTTTGTGTAAGTATGAAAGAATTACATTCCATTCTACTTAGACTGTCAGGTACATCTGTGTTACACATTTTGTGTCGCCTGACCTACCACAGATGTCTGTTACAATTAGTAACCTTAGGGTTTTGAACCAAACACTTTATTCAATCAACAGAGGAAGATTCTTCTCATTTTACTTTTGACACTTAGATATTTCATATCAGTTAAATGGAAAGCAGAATAAGAACCAGCTCCTCCCATGGATTGAATAAAGGGTTTTGTTCAAAATTCCAAGAAGGTCACCAAGTACAGCAGATACCTGAAGAAAGCCAAGAGTACAATGGCTGAAATGTTGTGAGCCTAGAAACCAAAATGAACATGATCGATTGCATAAAAAAACGCAAAAGATGAGAATTCCTCATCTCAAAAATTCTAACCAATTCCAAAAATAGTCAAAATAGTCAATGCATATTTTTCATTTTTTTTATATACATTTACTTAAGAGAAATCTTACATTTTGTACAACTTCTTTCTCACTATCCTTGCAAGAAGAATACATGCCATTTAAAATTAATGGAAGATGTTGGACAATTTTTTCCTCGGTATTTATCAGAAGTGGATATAGCAGTTTGGCAGCTTGAATACGTGTTGCTACAACCCAGTCAGTGAGGTCATTCATCAGGCATGGAAGGATTTTTGATATGTGGCGGGCAACCAACATACGACAGCCTAGATTTGGTCTTGTTGCTGAAAAGAAAGAAATGTTTATGGTGTTTACTAGAAAGAAAGCCAAATTTTAAGGTTTGATGTATTCGTTGGAGGCAGTAAAGCATGACTTCTAGACTCACAAACACACCTTGTGACAGAGAATTATTTTAGCCATTTAGTGTAGAGTAGCAAAAGAGATACTCAGTAAAGTATTATCAATTTAAATTTTGTGCATCCGTGTCAGCAGTCATGCAGAACACAGCACCAGAGAGGACTTTTGCAGAAAACTTGGTCCCATCATTTAGAAAAACTCCAACTCATTCATGTGGAACTTCAATGCTTAAGAGTTTTTTTTTTTTTTTTTGGTGGGGGACATACGAGCAAAATTCTCGACCAGCATGGTGAAAAACACCAACAAACTGGCCCCTATTCCTATGTGCAGAACCATTTTTCAGCTTAAAAGCTTAACCCACATGGTAACATCCATTTCCTCAAACTCAAAACACTTGTACCTTCTGAACTGCAAAAAGATCAACATTGAATCAGATTCAAATGACCAATGATAACTTCAAGTTAAAAAAAAAATCTAAGAACAGTTCTCAACAGTGCCTTAATTGAAGATAATTTCTGCAAGAAATCTGAACCAAATTCCAGAGGAATCCAATGACTGGTCAACCCTGAGTATTGCTATATGTAGTACAGCCTCAGAAGCACTTGATCTGTCCAGGAAACACATTAAGACTGGTCTGACAGTAACTCCATTGAAATCAAGTCACTGCTACAATCAAAGCATAAAACTTTGAAAGCTCACCTAAACCAATCCAGATTCCTCTACTGAGAAAACTACCTTTTCTTAAGTATACTCTCTGTATAATGGATAACACCAGGTAATTTCAGAAATCAAACTTTGCAGACTGCAACAATACCCAGGGTCTTTATGAGGCTATTAAAGCCCTAAATGGCCTTAGGAAACAAACCATTTTCCCTGTCCAAAAGACAAGAAGCCACTCCACAAGGACGAATGATACTAAATAGCTGGCAGATCATTTTGAGACACTTTTTAATCACATTATTTTTATCCTTAATAAATTACCAGATTATCATCCAATCAGGCACCTTGATACACTACCTCTGTTCTGTGAAACGCAACTAGCTATTTGATAGAGGTTATCAAATGGGGGTGGGGTACCATCAGACACACTACCTACATCTGGAAGATGATTGTCCCACATGCCAACATTGTTGTCATCGTCAAACAGAGAGGGAGATTCCGTGGCTGTTGCCACGGAATCTCCCTCCTTTCCAATGCAGGAAAATTACTGGTTAGAGATCATGCTCAATAGACTCATGGACCACATCTGAGAACTCTTTTCTGGGAAACCAAAGCCATCTCAGATATGACTTTTGTCCTATGGCAGTTTGTGTCAAGAGCAGAGAACAGCATATAAATATTTATACAAGCTTTAGTTAGATCAGCAAAAGATTTGATACCATAAGCAAGGAGATACTCTGGAAAGCATGCGAAAATTGGAGTACCACCTAAGTTTCTTTCAGAATGTAGGTCAGAGTTCTTACAGGAGGATTCCAGTACTGAACTGAAGTAAGGCTGTGTTCTTGCACCAGACCTTTTCCTCTCTAAAATCAAAATTCTTTTTTCACCTTGTTCCCAGGACACAAAGATGGTGCTCAACTGGATTACTATCCTGATGGATGCCCCAGGCAGTTCCAGGCCTGCACAAAGATAAATATTTGCCAGATCTGCAAACTCAACTCAGTTCTGACACACCCTAGAGTCTATTAAATATGCTCTCAACATAATCTCCAGTTTGTTGGTCACCTTAACATGGTGTAATGGTTAGCAATCTTGTCTTGCTAGAACAATTATGACAGAGTTTAATCCTCACTGGGTGCCCTATACTTTCAGCCTCGTACCACACCTGAGCTACACTTAGAGAATCACCATAATCTCCAGTTTGTATTAATCCTTTCGCCTTCAGGTAAACAACTCAAATAAACTCATGACCCAACTCTGTTACTGGTAGCCCATAGTGTCAATTTATTAAGAATCTATTTGAGAGTAGCGTTACTCGAATATAATGAATTTGGTTTGACATATAGAGGATGCGCTTTCCGGATACAAGGTTTAAGATTTCACATATGATTATCTTTGATAAAAACCCATGAACATGAAACATTGGATTATGGTTTATCCAATTATAACTAAATGATTTGTCAGCAGATAACATTTTTCCAATCACCTGTATTATATACAAGTTTTTTAGCATCATAAGTTTCAATTTATCGTTTGATTTCCATAGCTTTATCTGTTTGATATAGTCACCAATGATATAAAACTTCTCTGTAATTAGAGAAATGTGTAAGCTTATCTGGAATGTTTGGTAGGCAAGTTTTTGAAATCTTGCTTTCATAATTTAACAACTGTCTTGTAATTGGAAAATACAGAGAGTCAAAGTAAGCAGCTGTCCAAGGTCTTGTATTAAAAGTAGTATTAGTAATAAGAGGGCTTTTTGTACGTGACTCAATTCATCCGTTATAGTAGGTACCTCCACAAGATTGCTAAAAAAAAAAAGAGCATAGCATGATGAAAAAGATGCCAAACTTCACAAAAACAAAATTTTATTGTCTAAATTTTTCTTGTTATTTATACGAGGAAAGATCAAAGTATTTTGGGGGAATTTTTTTTTTACATTTTTTAATCGTTCTAACATGTCTGAAATTTTCATTAAAAATCTTGGTTTTTTTTTTTTGAGTTAGCAAAATTGATGATTTTTTTCCATTTTATAAAAAAAAAAAAAAAAAAAAAAAAAACTGGAAATCTCACTTTGAAATTCTTTTAAATATCAATTTTCAAAACTTATTTTAAGAAAATCAGAAATGTTTATTTAAAATATTTTGAACCAAGCTTCTGCGCCGAAAAGATGTAATTTGAAAATAAAACAAAGCAGGTCAAACTTTTGCGTCACTTGACAGGTGATGAATGACATATTGACGGATTCCGTGAGTCTAATTTGTTCTACGGTAGGAGAAGTGAAATTTACATTTAAGTGAACAAATTATTTACCTCGTTATTTTCAAGGAAAACTTTCAGTGCTCTAATCTTTTTTTTGTACTTAGCTTTCACCTTTACGATGCTTTATGGAAAATATTATAAAGAAATTAAAATAAGACTTAAGAGCGAGATTAAATTTCATAAGAAAGGTATATATATATATATATATATATATATATATATATATATATATATATATATATATATATATATACCTTTCTTATAAAATTTTATCAGAAGTGTACATAAAATACTCTAATTTTATGTACATTTATTACATTTTACTGTGTTATTTGTATTTCTATTTATTTTATTATTAATTTTGATATTTCATTTATGGACAAAATGTCATAACTGAGATTAATGTATTAAAAATTCATTTTTCATCGAAAATTTTTTGCTTTCAGAAAATATTGTCCATATTCATAAAAACAACTAAAAGCAAATAAAAGCATTTGAAATTAAATAACTGTTTTATTGAGTTTTGTATGTTACGATTCAGAGCTGATTTTCAGGTGGTGGTGGGGTGGGGGGGGTTAGTTGGCTGTCAAATTTAAAAAAAAATAAAATAAAATAAAAAACTAAAAAAAAACATGATTTGCATTCCTCAAAGCCTTGTGCTTTTAACTATTGTAATCATTAAACTAGACTATCGAATTTCTAGTGTTTTCATAAAATTAGTGGGGGGGGTAATAAACATAAAAAAAATTTATAATAATTTTTAATCATCTGTGAATAGTTTCTGAAAATTTCATTAACGTCCAACAATTATTTATATTTTTGCAAGATTTTCCAAATTAATGTGTGTCATACCAAAAAACATGCTAAAAATTGTATGTTATTTTACTAGTTCTGTTGATACAAAGAGAAACAAGGTTTTTTTAAATCAAAATTTAGAATTGTCTAAAAAGGAAATATTTTTTTAAAATAATTAAAAAAAACTTTGGTCTTTCCTCTTAATAATAACATAAGCATTTAGACGATAAAATTTTGTTTTCATCAAGGTTGGCACCATTTTCATCGATTTCGTGGTTACAGAAACAATTTTACTAACTTTATATCCTTATGATTTAAGTCACCACTTGAAAATAAGTTTTTAGTTCCAGATTTGTCATACAATCAATATCCCCACATAACATTGTTTATCACTTCACTTAGTTCCACACTCTTCAGACTGCTCCCTCAACATTGACACAAGTAACTGTATCAAAAAAGTCTTTGGGCAAAAAGAGGTTTTCAGATTAGTACCAAGGTTACTGTTTACAATGTTCTATGTGACCATTCCTTTGAGACAGAAACATGAACCCCCTTACAAATAGCACATCACCAGCATGGAAGCCATTCACATCCATTGTTTTCAAAAATATTTTACCTGCTATGGAAGGAAGTTCTCTTCTACATATGCCTAACAGCATTTGTATGGAAGCAAAAATGGCCAACAAATGCCTGCACTGGATAGAGTATATCATTTGTATGCCTGAGCAACACCCTACCTCATAAGGTTCTCTATAGACAAATAACAGATACGCTGTTGAAGGTATATAACAAATATGTGCACTTTTTTGCCCTCACTGGTAGCACGATGCTATCTTCATGGGCTGAATTAAGCACCTGAAGATTACATTGTGCATGAAACTCACATAAGGAAAAAATGTATATTTATTAATACATAATTTATATCAGGTAGCATTGTGCTAGTATCTGGACTCACTTGCCCCACCTGTAGGTGTGTTTGTGGTAAATGTATTTGCTTCCACGGCCATATGAAGTGGCACCTGAACCAAGCATCATCGAACAGCTGAACTGTGTGTATATATATATATATATATATATATATATACACACACATACATACACACCTTTTGGCATAGTGGCACACTTTCTTTTACAAAGATTTAAAGAGGCAATTAAGTGTACAGGTATAACAAATATCTCAATTGAATATTTCTGCCTTGCATAAATCACTCGCATTTTGGAATAAATGAATGATTTTGTTATTCCATTCTGTTATTTTGTTTTGCCTAAGAGGCAAAAAGAAATATACTTATTGAAACAGACCACAGTTTGAACAAACACTCAGTTTGAACATTTGAATTATTGGGGTATATTTCTTGGAAGATAGAGGTTTGTATTTTTTTCCGGGGAGGGGGGACATAAAAGAAAGCCTAGTTATACTAAGATGATTACCAGACTAACATACTGGGTTAACTGTTATGATTATCTGCAGACATGCAATTTAGTATTTGCAGCTTGAAGATCCTTTGTAGTGAAAATCAATTAGCTAGTACGCTGCTTGGCAAATTCCTTTCAATTTTGCGCATACACCTTATTAAAGGAGAGAATCAACATCTTGCTCTACAAGAAATAATAAATGCTTACTATTTGGTGGATAGTTTTCTGGTGGGCTTGCGGGAAAATCCATTTGGTCTTTGAAATCTTTTTCATTTTCCTGTTCATATTTCAGCCCTGAAACAAAGAAAGTTTGGGATTCAAGGTGCAACAAATAAGATTTTGGGTTCTTGACAAAATATGAAAAAAATTTAACCAGTACAAAAAAAAAAAAAAAACAGTAAAAATTGATGGGGAGTACGTCAAGATAGTTTGTGTTACATTAGGAATTCAAGTCACAAAAGAAATGGTTGTAGAATAGCAATGCTAGAGTTGCAGCCAAATAGTTCAAGGGCCAAGTTAGAGATTTTGTATTCTACACTTACAACTAGCATGTTAATGTAAAAAATAAACAAAAATAATAATTTACCAATATCATGCCAGAAGCCAGTTGCTACTTGTGTAATCTGTGGTTGTTCATCTGTAAGACCAGTCAATAATAATGGAATCAATTTGTGGTGAAATGAATAGCGGTCCATTAAGTTCAATAACCATTCCCCAGTTACTTTAATGACTGCCATCCTCACTGCTTGTGACTGATCAAAAAGACGTTGAGCCAAGTGTCCCCTCACATCATCAACACTCTTGTTATTGCCATTTTGGATAACATCACCTGCAAACAGATTGACAATGCACCATATTTAACCAATTGTGTTATTTTATACGTTCATAAGTTTTTCTCAAAACTGCATTTACAAACTTAAAAATAGAAATACCAGTATCGACGATAATTGTCTAAATTAAATCAAGATTTTGCCTCATTACCCGATTTACATTATCATGAAAACAAGTTATAGCGAACAAATAATATTTAAAACGGGAAATCTTGTAGTGAACAACAAAAATTGTTTTAGTTAAAAAAAAAAAAAAAAAAAAAAAACCACTTCCAAAAGTTTTTGCTTATAGAAAAAAAAAAAATAAAGTCATCTCACAACTTCAACAATAAAACAGATTACGAAAGTTAAAGTAAAAATAAATCAATAATAATCTTCTTACTCTTAACACCCGGCCGAGATAGAAAGAAAAAAAAAAATTACATTTAATTAAAAAAAAAAAAAAAAAAAAAGAAAAAAAGCAATATTGGAGCGAAATGGAGAAAAATAGTTTAGTCTACTTTTTAAAAAAATGTAATAATTATTGTGTAGTGTCAATATAGAATCGCATATCATTTCTCGAAGAATTACCTTCTTACATACCCATCAAAATTTATACAAGCTTCCGCTTACGATTTTCTAGTAATAAAGGTTTCTTAAACTACCCGCCCCCCCCCTCTACTTAAAATTTTATGGTAAAAATAAATAATAACCAGTAGTGGACAGTTGAAGAGATTTTCTACTCACAAAGCTTCAAGTCAAGTACGTGAGAGAAGAGGTTTCGTTTACCAAAATTAAATTTGGTGCCTTAGGAAAGTTCACAATAACTTTTCATAAAAGTTTAACACGTGCATATAAAAAGTCACAAGGGTCTCTGTAAGTTACCCTACAACTTTTTTTTTCTCTTATTTTTAAGAGATGGCGAATTCAATCCCTATTGACTGCAACTACTCAACTCATATTAGGAACTGATTAAGTTCATTCGGGCATATGTCATTTTATTTGGGAGATAACAAAATTAAACACAAACAGGAACTGTTAAAGGCAAGTTTTTGATGATACACAAAAGATTTCCATTAGTTTTTCAAAACAAAACAAAAAATAATAGAAGGAACGTAATTATTTTCTTGTAAGAAAAAAAAAAACAGCTGCGTGAAACTTCACTTAGAGAATCATTACGTTTAATGCCTTTTAGTTTTCTGTGATGATCATAGACAGTGTTTTTGTTTTACTCTCTCATGTTATCCGAAAGAGAAAGGGTTTGTTTTTGTTTTTAATGGTACCCGTACTATAATATGAAAAAAACAGAAAAATTAATTTGGTTTCCTTTTTCACGGAACTTTTGCAAGCGGGTGGGTTGGGGGCCCGAAGTGTTGAGGCCTTCTTTTTTTTTTTGCGTTGTAGTAAAAAAAGTGATCCTAAAATTGGCCCACCTTACATAACATCGAGGATAAATTGTATCTAAGTAAATCTAAGTAAGAGACATTAAAAAAACAGTCTTGGATTAAGTTGAGGAAAAAGTTTTAGCCCAACTTTCAACTTTACGTTCAACTCCGATTAAAAATGACTGAAAGAAAGAAAGGGAGAAAAAAAAAGAAAGAAAAAAAAACTACCGATAGCTTCCACAACACAGATTCGAACTTTGGAATGTTGATGTGTCAGACTGCGGAGTAGCGGATTTATTAGAGATTCAGACTGCATGTGGAATTTCTCAGGTATAATCTTAGATAGACAAGAGGCCAAAGAGCAGCTTTCTTTTTTCACCTCAGGATATGAATCAACGATGGTTCTTTGCAAAATTTTCACAAAATCATCGAGGTAGACGCCGATACTCTTTCCGGAAATTTCGACAAGTTGCCGAGCCAGTTTAACTAAAAGAAGTCTGATTTCTTCGGACGGTTCAACATAATCAGGCTGACCGAGTCTCTGGACTAATATAGGTATCAAGTAGGGCAAACATTCGCAAGGTTCAGGTACGCGAGATATTAATTCAGTGACCATTTCAATGACCAACTCGCGGCAGCTTTCGCTTGTGTCGTGGAATACTTTCAGAAGTGGCTTCAGTAAGTCATTAAATACCTTTTGCAAGTTGGGTTGATTTAGTGGGGTAGAGCGATTTAAAATTTCAGTACGAATGCTTTCCAGAGCTTTTTTCCGAATCATCTTGTTAGAGTCATTGAGACAGTTAATGTGTCTAGCCAGAGTCGAATCAAGATCAGCGCCTTCAGCCATGTTTGCAATAGAGTTGTTACGATTATTCGACGACTTTTATAATTTTTAAACACAGAAGAGTTCCACTCTCCTTGGATACGAATGTAAACAACCCCAAAAAGTTTGTCTAAATGCGAACACATGGCCGCATCCCACAAAAAAATAGTACTCGAGAAAGTAGCCTTCCCTTAACTATAGTAAAGTTATCTTACAAAAAAAAAATCAATATCTTTTTATATTAATTTAAAAAGTTACTGAATTTATTAACAGATTTTAAAATTAGTACCATGTTAGTTGTAACCAAAAAAAAAAAAAAAAAAAGAAGAAATTACTTATCTAGTAATAATGTAGGTTTAATCACGCACTACTTTGTAAATTATGAATAAATATTGGTAGTCGGGTTCATTCACCGTTTGTTTTCTATTATTTATTGAAAAAAAAGAGGTATATTTTCGGAATTTCTAACCTAAATATAATTCTTCAAGTAGAAAGTGACATTCATGAAATATTTAAAAATCGAAATAAACTTTGTTTTTGTTTTTTTGTAATTTTAATGTTCTTTTATTTATTTATTTTTGGTAAGCTAAATTTCCTTTTTTATTCGTTTGATTATCTCTGGAGTTACTATTTAGCTATTAAATATTATTTTACAATACATGACTGATATTTTTCAGCCTGTTGATTTAAATAACATCTATTGAACAAAGAATCTGGAGTGACAAAATAACTAGAAATCTCTTTTTTGTCATAAAAGAATAGTTTTAACTTCATTTTTATTACTATAAATGATTTGTAGTCACTCACACTTTGTTAATATATGGTCATATGCAAAAGTATTGGACAACATTTCTATAAGCTTTTTTAGGAAAAACAATTTTTAATGTGTCTACAAACCTAAAAATTAAGTTGAACATAGTATATACTTAGGATACTTCTAAGCAGAAATAAGGATTTTATCTATGCATATATTGTGAAATTTAACAAAAACATACAAAACAAGTATTAGACACACATCAATAAACTACATTCAGCCCTCAAGACTCTTATGCATATAGAGATATCTCAATAGGATCCATTATGGTGAAAGTACTAATGAAAATTGTATTAACTAGGCTCTCATTGTTTTATGAATGTTAACTCCTCACAATCCAGTTTGGTTTTTGTTCTGGTAAGGGGCATATATAGTGATTTTATAGGCATAGCTTAGATGTGCCACAAGACCAAAAGTATGGGGCTCCCAGTGAGGATCAAACTCACTATTCAGTTGTAATTGATCTAGTGAGAGCAGCTTGTTAGCCATTACACTATGTTGAAGTGCCCCCCAAAAGAACAGCTCATTTGATGACTACTAACATTAACAAGATATGGTGATTTACCAAGCTTAGTTGAGGCACAAGGCCAAAAGCATGGGGCATCCAGTGAGGATTGAACTCACTACTCAGTTGTAACTGAATTAGCAAGACAAGCTTGCTAACCATTACACCATGTCAAAGTGCCAATGATGGCATATATGTCATCAAACAACTCTAGAAAATTGCATACTTCTCTAAAAGAAAGTTGTATACCTGCAGCATATGACCACATCAATAAAGATTTCCTCTTCTCATCCATTAGAAATCACCTTCAAATCCACTGAATGCATTGATCCAATAGAGGAACTTTAGCAGTCCACAAAATCTTACATGTCTGTTGAGGACCTCAATACAGAAACATTTCAAATCTCATCAGGAGTATGACAAGGAGGAAATGAAAGCCCTAGTCTATTTCATCTTTTCCTGGACTATGTCCTGCACATTTATAAACACAGATGGAATGAGATGGGCATTGATCATTTAAGCATTGCATACCACATTCCAAATAAATCTACCAATAGAAGACAACAATCCTGCTTCCTTCCTAAGGGCAATATACGGATGTTGATGATTCATAGTTGGGATAAAAATGATCTTAAACAGAAGATCAATATCCTCTATAAAGTGTTCTAAGAAATAAGACTCAAAATAAACTTTTCCAAAACAGAAATTATGATCTGGAATTGAAATAAAAGCAGTGATGGCACATATCCTGAATCTATCATTAAAATTTAATATATTATAGATTTGAATCAACTCATAACAAAGAAAAAGGTAAGAATGGTTTTTAAATATAAAATATTTTTTATTTTTGTATTTTTACAATTTTTCTCCCTGGAATCGACTTTTTATTTTTGTATTTTTACAATTTTTCTCCCTGGAATTGATCCTTCTGATCTACAAATCTTGATAAGATCCAGAGGCAGATATGCAATATAATTGGCCCTGATCTGGCATCTCGTCTACAGTCGCTCTCTCACAGACGCGTTATCGCCTCTCTCTGTCTTTTTTACAAATACTTTCATGGTAATTGCTCTAAGGAGCTGCATTCGCTGGTTCCCATGAATTCAAGTGCCCTATGAGGCTGGCATCCCGCTCTCACCCTTTCACTGTTGAAACTATTAAATGTAACCGTCTCTTCTACTCCAATAGCTTCATATCTCGCACCTCTCATCTGTGGAACTCCCTTTCCTATTCCTGTTTCCCTGAGAGCTATAATCTCCAACTATTCGAATGTAATGTCAATCGACATCACCAGTTGCCTTGATCTATCCACTACTCTTCTCCTCATCCTTTCCTTTATCACTTCTATCTGATCTTGCTCCAAATCTTCTGTAACCCCTTGCGTCCTAGTGGCTTCCTGCCTTGCTTACTTAAAAAAAAAAAATAACTAAATTTTGTGTAGCGTGTATGAATGAGTATTAAAGTTCTCGTGCTAAAATTCTTCATTTGTAGTTTGTTAAGATGAAAAGAAATGTGATTTCTTCACATGTATGTGTGAAAAAAAGAGACAAGGGTGAAAGTGAGGAGGAGAGGAAAGTGTAAGTCTCATGCATATTGTAAATCAATGTCGCGAGTATTTGTTTCTATTTTTTTATTAGTTTTGTCCCTCTAGAGATTTTACTCTCCAAAGGGATCATGAAGCATGCTTTTATTGTCAGCAGGAATGCAACCCCATTGGTTGGAAAATATTAAATATTTATTTTTAAAGGATTAAGTTATTAACCAGAAGGATGCACAGATCCTCTCACTCAGAAACCATTTTGTCATTTAATGATTACCTGTCTTCCTTGTATGACCTACATCCTACCGTCCCTGAGTGAAATAGGAAAAAGAGGATGACAGAGAATGTCACTTCCTATTTATAGGTTTAGGGAGAGTCCCCTAGCAGCATTTTTTTTGAAAGTATGTGGGGTAACTCCACACTCTCACTCCCAGTGTAGAATTAGCTAAAATCCATCAAATTCATCATAAAAGAGCAATGAAACAATACCTGCTGATATCATTTCGAGTTTGGATAGGATGCAAAGAAGTGCATAGAAGCATGTACATTCACTTCTTGCAACCCATACAAACAACAGAGAAATGGCAGCAAGAACCACTGATTGCTGGGATATAACAAAAATGTTGACTATTTTATTTTGGGGATAGCAATACCAAATACCAGAATACCAAAAACACACACCCTCCACATATAGGCTGCAAGCAGCAAATGGATAACATTTAGACCTACAGGAAATATCGCTCATGTTGAATTTAGGTTGATGACTTTTCCAGTGTATTTTTGCACAAGCCCAAATCAAAACCCCTATACATGGAGCATTTTTTTATCCCACAATCTCTTATCAATAAATATGCTACTCACTCCCTTAGTGACAGTGACACAAGGCTAAGCAGTAAAAAAAATAACCTGCCTGTACTTTTCAACTAGAATTTGCTGCACAACACCAGTTGATGGTAAAATACAAAGGCTTGCTAAAAACATTTCTCATCACCACTCCTTTCAAGCACACTGAAAAAATTTGTCACTTGGTGAAGCATCACATAAAAACAACTGGACCTCCAACTCATGCACTACCATGCAGGTTATGTTCGGACAAATATAAAGTAGCAATAGACGAATTTCAACACACTTTACAACTGGGCATTATACATTATCTTGAAAGAGTCCATACTCTTTGTTCCGCATGGTTAAAAAATTAGATACAGGAGTTTGGTGACCTTGTGGAGATTTGCATAAGCTGAATGCTATAACTGTCCCTGATAGATACCCAATTCCACACATACACAATTTTGCCATAGGAATACAAGGAATCAAAGTTTTCACAAATTTTGATTTGGTTAAGTCTTATTACCAAATCCCGGTTGCAGAAGAAGACACACAAAAGAGAACTCCTTTTGGGCTTTATAAGTTTATGAAAACACCATTCAGCTTGCAAAACATGCCAATAACTGATTCCTGAAGTTCTGAGAAGATTGTCTTTTGCTTTAGTTTATATAGATGATATTCTCATCACTAGTTGTGATATTAAGAAGCATCATGGCCATCTGTGACAGGTTTTCGATTGACTGGCACACTTTGGTTTAAAAAATAATGTTAACTATTATTGAAATTAGTGAAATTACTGTTTCTCAACTGTCCTTCCTGGGTCATGTCATTGACAAAAATTGTCTTACACCTACGCAAAAGAAAGTTGCAACAATACAAGTCTCATAGACAACATTGCTGTGACAACTGTGAAGATTCGTCAGTTTAATCAACTACTACCAAAAATTTATTTCAGGCTGTGCCAGAATCTTAACTCCACTAATTTGTGGCAGAAACAAAAACAGAAAACATATGCATAACCTTAGAAGTTTTTATTTTCATGGCATTAATAAAGCATTAGCAGATTTTACTAATCTCTCCTTTATCAGTGAAAATGAGAGCTTGACTTT